CCTTAGACGTAGACAAAATTTAGTTTTGTACAGCTTTCAGACAGTAAATGAGCAGCAGCTTAGCAGTGAAATGAACATTTCCATTTCATAAAGTGCAGCAGTGATCAAATGTAAACAGTGTGGGAGAAAGACATGGTTCAAAATGCATTGATATGGAAGGTCAAAGCATTTCAAGGCAAATAAATATGGTGCAAATATGCAGTAGAAAAACATTTTTTTTGTTCTTGAGTTCTTTTTAGAATGGGCTTAAACTGTGCGATTTTTTGCCCTTTTTGGGGGCAACTTCCCAGGCATGCAAGAATTTTTTGATCAGGCCAACTTTCAGCCTGATCGTGCATGGTGTAGTGTACAGGGGGTAACGAGGGACGATCAGCCTCTCACGACCACCTTCTGATCAGGAGGTCAACATGTTTGATTTTCAGTCGGCCGTCGTGGACAAATCGCTCAGTGGGCAAACAAGGATTCTTCTTCTTCTTCTTCCTTTCAGATGAAAACACAGAAACATGCAGGGGTGCAATGAGTGAAATTAGTTCTTTCTGTAAAATTGACGGACCGTAGCAGCCTCGTTTCACCCATGTCTTTGTCCAAATACGTCGTTGCCTTTTCTTTTTAGGGCTTTCAGCTTAAAATTGCACAAATTACCAAGGCAGCACCTTTCACTCTAGTGAGCTTCATATTCCTCTTCTTCTCATTTGGCTTCTGGATAGACGAGTCCGAGTAGCTCCATCTCACTGCGGAGCTGAGTCTGATGTGTTTTTTAGACGTACAGTCTGAGCAGGTAGATCCCGTCAGGTCGCACAGTTTGAGAACATGCATCGTGAGCTTTGAACTGACGGACTTTGAGTAAAGCAGTATCATTGTGTAGTAGTTAATTAAATATGGTTTCACATATTACACATATTGTTCAGAAAATAAAAGTGAACAAATGCAGGAATTGATTCATTTCTATTACTTATTTCATTTTAATGAACCGCACAGTGGAGGAGGAGTAACATGCCCATTGGGGAGCAAAAAGAAGTGATCATCTGTCCGAAGGGTCAGTTAACTGAGTTCTCTATAAAGCTCACTATATAGTCTCCACTCTGTATAGTGATTGAGGCATTTAGGGGTTAGAGCAGACGTTTGGACAAAGTAAGTATTGTATGAGCTATTAGAACAGTAACTTTTAAACAGAACGTGCATGAGGAGAAATGCTAATGCACGCTCTCGCTTGCGCATTTTTAAAAAGTGGAGAGTGCAGGTCTTTCAAAAAAATTGCGGAAATCATCCACAATACCTTTAAACCACCCCGGGCTTAATGTTGAGAATCAGAAAATGGCTCCAGCAAATGCATTACATTTTCCCAGTTTATTGAGCAACGCTAGTTTTCCCTGCATGTAAAACTGTAGCTACTGACATGTGATGATCTAAAGGACCTTTAATATATTGCCCCTTGCAGGTTCGATCCACAGGCGTTTGTCTACTTTGACTGCACGGTAAGTCTGCCCCTGCCAACAACCATCAACATCGATTACAACTGGTTTTAAAAAAGGTATGAGTTACTACAACATTTCATTTCCCTTTGGGATTAGTAAAGTATTGTATTTATTGTATTTAAAGTATTGTATTGAATACAGAATGTATGGAAATAGCTTGTTTAGAATAGTTTGGCACCTGTTAGGCTTCCTGCTAGATTCAGAAACTGGTCGTATGTCTAATTTTTATCTTTAGCAGCTTTCAGCTTAAACATTTTTTTGACTCCCTCAACTATTCATCTTCTCTTCCCTGGAAATAAATTGTGATTAAATAAAAAGAATAATCCTATGCATGATGACTAAATAATTGCTTTTAAATTAAAGTCTGAACGTGCTGAAACATGTTTTTTCCTTTTTGTCAGATTAGATTAGATCTTCTACCTTATTTTCTAATTAACCTATCCTTCATATAAAACTAATTGGGAAGGAAAACTCTATTGTGGCCTGCAAGCCTCCTTTTGTTCTGTGACATCCTTTGT